CTCTGCCGGTGTGTGATTGCCAGTCCTGCACCTCCTGTCAAGGAGATTGCGGCTCTCCTTCCTCGCACCGTCCTGCTCTCTCCACTCCCCACCTCATCCCTTTACACTCTCACGCTCTCCTCTTTCCTCTCATTCCCCGTTCATCCTCTACCCTCCCTCCCCCTCCCCTTCTCCCCTCCTCCCCTCTCCTTCCCCTCCTTCCCCCTCCTTCCCCCTCCTTCCCTCCTCCTTCCCCCTGCACGTGTCCTCACCCCCCACCCAACCCAGCATGCTGCACGTGAGTTGCAGCAAGCACTGCGGGTGCGGGTCGTCGTGTCAGAACGCGCCCTTCCACCGCCGCCCCTCGCGCAAAGTCAAGCTCTGCAGGGTGCGTCGCGCTGGCCCCCGCCTCCCCTCAACCGTCTCAGCACACCGCAACCTGAACCATCACTGCTCGCTGCTCCGCATAGCCCACTCCGCCGTTGCTTGCCCCATGGCTGTCCATCTCCTCTCTGCTCACACACCCCCCCCTGCCCCCAGCTCACCGTCCCTTCTTCTCCCCCGCATTATTCCCGCTTATCCCCGCGTTTCCCCTCCATATGTCCTGCTTTTCCCGTTTTCGTATCAAGCGAATCCCCCCTTATCCCCATGCGTGTCCTCTGCTCACATCCCGCACCCCCCCCTGTGCGCAGACGGATAAGTGCGGGTGGGGCCTCAAGGCCAACGAGGACCTCCCTGCGGGATGCTACGTGATGGAGTATGTGGGGCAAGGTGAGAGTGCGGGGCAGCCATGTATTGTCACTCACATGGATGCATCCGTCACTGACTGGCAGCTCAACTGTGACCCCCTCACCCCTTCCCCTTGCATTCCTGCACTGCACTGCTCCCCTTTCCCGGGGCCTGTTCGTGCACCACCCCCATGTATCCATACGCCCTTTCCCCTGTACCCATGCGCCTCCTTCCCCCCCTCCTCCCCCCCTGCCCCATGTTGCACGGAGCGTGAGCAGTGATAGACGACGCACGTGCGAGCAGCGCCTGTGGGACATGAAGGCCGCCGGGGGGACCGACTTCTACCTCTGCGAGGTTTACCCCTGCCACCCCCTGCCGCCCCTGCCGCCCCTGCCACTCCTGCCGCCCCTATCACTCCTGCCGTCCGTGCCGCCCCTGCCACCCCTGCCACCCATTGCTGTGTGCTTCACTGCGATTCCATGCGCTTCGCCTCATTGCCTCGTCAATCAAGCACGGAGCACTGCTATCCCCATTCTTTCCATGCCATCTCGCCCCTCGAGGTCGTTTCGCTTCATCCTGCTGTTCCTCCCACTGCTCCCTGCGCCCTCTCCCATATGCCGCTTGCCCTGCGCCCTGTTCCCTGTGCCCCGTGCTTATGCTGTGTGCGCCATGGATGGGAGCGCAGGTGAGCAGTGACATGATCATAGACGCGCGCTACAAGGGCAACCTCTCGCGCCTCATCAACCACTCCTGCAACCCCAACTGCGAACTGCAGAAGTGGTGAGCAACCGATGAGCAACTTATGAGTAACTGCTGACCCCAACTGCTGGCCCCAACTGCTGGCCCCAACTGCTGGCCCCAACTGCTGACCCCAACTGCTGACCCCAACTGCTGACCCCAACTGCTGGCCCCAACTGCTGACCCCAACTGCTGACCCCCACTGCTGACCCAACTGCTGACCCCAACTGCTGGCCCCAACTGCGCTCCGAGTCCAGCTGATCCTTGGTGCTCTTCCATGAACTTTCATCCTGCATGTTTCTTTTGCCCATTTCTCTCTCTCTCTGCTTCTGTTGCTACTGCTGCTGCTGCTGCTATCGTGGTGCACGAGCAGGCAGATGGATGGGGAGGTGCGCATAGGCGTGTGCACGCTGCGCGCAGTCAGCAAGGGGCAGTTCCTCACATACGACTACCAGTGAGCCTCTTTACAATGCCGAATCCCTCAGCTAGTCGTGAGCTTAGGGTGAGGCTTCGCTTCTCATGTGCTGGTGGCATGGCCTTGATGCTCTTTCTCTCTCTTCTCCACTGCGCTGACTGCAGTTTTTCCTTCCTGCTCTCTAAGCAAACAATTTTTTCGCATTCGAACACTAGCTGCGCGCACACACTCTCAGAATGCGTCAGACCAGCAACCGCCGCTCTCGTGACTGCAATCACCATCTCCTCTGCCCCCTCTACCCCCTATGCGCACCCCCGCCTTGCTGTGCCCATGCAGGTTCATAGGGTTCGAGCTACAGCCCAAGGAGTGCCACTGCGGGGAGCCCAACTGCCGCGGCCTCCTCGCCACGCGCACCATCTCCCCCTTCACCCTCCCCCTCCCTTCCCCGCCCCCGCCCTCCCCGCGCTCCCCTTCCGCCCGCCCCCCCCCCCCCCCCCACCCCCCCGCATGCAGGGGGAACCGTTCCCCCTGGGGGCGCGCAGGGAAGGGGAAGCGCGGAGGCAGAGGGGAAAAGGGGACGGAATAAAAGGGGAAGGGAGGGGGAAGACTGTGGTGGATGTGTGTGGGGGAGTCGTAACAGGGGGCAGCGGCGGCAGGCAGGGCGGGGTGAGGGGAAGAGGACGGGGAAGAGGAGGTAGTATGGGGCAGCAAGGAGCAGTGGGCGTGGGGAGAGGAAGCGGGAGGGGAAGAGGGCGAGGCAGGTGGGAGGTGGGAGGAAGGGAGTGTGGAGAGAGGGGTGGTGGCAAGATGGGGAGAGGCAGGGGTGTTTCTGCAGGAGGTGCAGCAGTGCCGATTGCCTTGGGGAGGTGCAGAAGGGAGCAGCAGAGGCAGCGGCAGAGGGAGAGGAGAGGGAGAGGAAAAGTGTGGGTGAAGCAGCCGAAGAGGGCAGCATCTGTCAGAGCTGCATGCGGAGGGCGGCACACTCTGGTGAGCGCTGGTGGTGCGCTTGACACTGACCGACGACTTGGCTGATGTTTCTCGTGCCAGGGCTAAGAGTATGGCTCTAGAGGCGGATGAGGAGGAGGAGGAGGACGTGGAGGAGGAAGGAGGAGGAGAGGAGGAGGAGGCAGATGAGGAGGAAGAGGAGGAGGATGAAGAGGAAGGAATGAGGGAGGAAGAGGGAGAGGAAGAGGAAGAGGAAGAGGAGGAAGTGGAGGAAGATGAGGAAGTGGAGGAAGAGGAAGAGGAAGAGGAAGAGGAAGAGGAAGAGGAAGAGGAAGAGGAAGAGGAAGAGGAGGAAGATCTGCAGGAGCGCGGGGAAGAGATATCTGGGGAGGGGCGTCGTGGGAGCAGGCGCCTCATTCCGGGGCCGGGGTGGGCCCCGGTGCCCCTGCTGCGGCACCAGCGCAAGCGCCAGGCACGAGGAGTGCGAGGGGGCATGCGCAGTGATGTGCGCGGTAGCACTGCTGGCGCTGCTGCTGGGGGCAGCACCGCTGCTGGGGCCACCGGTGGGGAGGGCGGCGAGGGGGAGGGAGGTGGCAGGAGGGCGCAGGAGGGATCGTGTGTGACGTCAGTGGCTGCGCTGGGGGCCGTGCTGCTGTGGCGGTGGGTGGGTGCGCTGGCGGGCAGGGGGACGTGGGCGTGGGCGTGGGCGTGGGCGTGGGCGTGGGCGTGGGCGTGGGCGTGGGTATGGTATGGGCAGGGAGTGGGTTTCTTGCTGTCCTGCCTCTCACTGCCACCTCTGTGCTGCTGCTGCGGTTGCTGCTGGTGGTGGTGGCTTCAAAGTACCTGCTGGGCCTTGTTTGGCTGCTGCTAGTGCCGGCCCTTATTCTGCTGTTGCAGCTGCTGCTGCCGTGGGAAGAGGAGCAGTGGGATATAGTGGGAGCAGACAGACGGAAGTAGGGGGGCCTCAGCTGGACCAGAGAATCAAGGGGCAGACTGTAGAGAGGGTGTACTCGCGGAAGAGGCTAAAATGGATGTTACTGTAAAGAAAGAGCCAGTGGGCGAGGAGCCACTGGCAGGTGTGAGGGTGTGTGCTGGTGAGGGCGAGGGGGTGAAGGAGTGGTGAAGAAAGAGTGGGAAGAGGTGCAGAGAGTGGGGGAGAGGTGAAGAGAGTGGGGGTGAGGTGGGGAAAGGGGGCCTCATGCGTTATGGGAGGGAGTATCAGAGACGGAGGAAGCGGATTCAGACGGAGGGGTGTGACGCTGCAGAGGGGCTAGTGGGGGAGAGTTTCTGTGCAGCATGCACATGCAGAGGCGCGGATGGTGCAGGGGGGTGCACACAGGGGCGTGCACACAGGGGGGTGCACACAGGGGGCGTGCACACAGGGGGCGTGCACACAGGGGGGGTGCACACAGGGGGCGTGCACACAGGGGGCGTGCACACAGGGGGCGTGCACACAGGGGGCGTGCACACAGGGGGCGTGCACACAGGGGGCGTGCACACAGGGGGCGTGCACACAGGGGGCGTGCACACAGGGGGCGTGCACACAGGGGCAAGGACTCCTGTGGTGATAGCGCATGAGCACATGTGGCGCATGGCTACGGATCAACGGCCAGGATTGCAGGGTGTGGCGGTGGAGGGAGCGGGACAGACGGTGCCGAGGAGCGGGTGGCAGAAGCAGGCTCTCTCTCTCTGCTCCCACCTGCCCCTCGTGGCCCCTCGTCGCCCCATGATGCATGCGGTGACATGCATACTCATACCAACACCAAATCCCCCATCCCTGCACAGGCTCATAACCATGCCCATGCCCCTGCCCCTGCCCCTGCCCATGCCCATGTCCACGCGCATGCACATCCGTGTGTGCACATCCCCGCAGCATGTGGTCTCACCTACCCTGCAACATGCATGCATCATCACACCCATGCCCTCGCCCACCCCCACGCTCAAGTGCCGTGTCACATGCATGCTGCTACTGCCATGCCCCCTGACCTCTGCTGTCCCCACCATGTGGGGCCAGTGCACATGTGCGCACATGGCATGGCATGCCCAGTAGCAGCAGCACAGGCGTGTGGCGAGGGAGTGGCGGCAGTGAGGGGTGTGACTCCAGATGATGTGCCTGAAAGGGGTCCGCCACTGGCAATGGCGCGCTGGCAGTGGGTGCACACGTGGACACTGCTGGTTGCACTGATGTGACACGTCAGCAGGAAAGGGAAGGGGATGGGGGACGCTTGGGGGGAGAGGAGGGGAAGAGAGACGGAAAGGAGGGGATGTTTGAAGGTAGAGAAGGGAAAGGGGAGAGAGGGAGGGGGAGAGGAGTGAGAAGGGGTAGAGGAGGGAGAGGAGGGAAGGGAGGGAGAGGAGGGAGACGAGATGGAAGAGGGAGCAAAGGCAGCGATGGGAGAGAGGATGTGGCTACAGGTGACCTCAAGGGGCTTGGCGTTGCTGCTGCTGCTGCTGCTGCTGCTGCTACTGCTGGTGGTGACGCCAGTGCTGCTGCTGCTGCTGCTACTGCTGGTGGTGACGCCAGTGCTGCTGCTGCATGCGGGCAGGGCAGGAGAGGGGGCATGTCTTGCGCTCGAGCAGCAGGGCCGGGCCGAGGGGGAAGTGGCAGCAGCAGACACGCAGCAGCTAGAGTGGTGGCAGCTGCAATGACTCGCGTGGCGAGGGGAGGGCGGGAGGGCGAGGAGGGCGTGGAGGGCAGGCGGGTGTGGTGTCCGCAGGGAGGGGAGGCGTGGCCATAGGAGGTAGCAGTGACGTGGAGACAGGGGAAGATGGTGCTGGCACCAAGGGGGAGGGAGGGGAGGGAGAGGAGGGCGGGGGAGGGGGCGGAGGGGCGGGGGGCGCGTGGTGGGGCGGGGGTGGGGGGCGAGGGGGCGCGGAGGCGGAGGGGGGTGCGGGATGCCATGCTGGAGCGGCTGAGCCAGGCGCTGGTGGGGCAGCGCGTGCAGCTCTGGTGGCCCCTGGAACAGAGGTGGGAGGGGGGGGGGGTGAGGAAGGGCTGACGAGAGATAGAGGAGGGAGAGTGCGGCGGATGGGTGGGCGGTTACCAGAGGTGGTGTGGTGAGGATAAGTCGTGGCCGATTGCTCCGTTGCCTCTTGCCGCCCTGGCTTCTCACCGCCCTGGCTTCTCACCGCCCTGGCTTCTCACCGCCCTTGCCTCATTGCTGCCTTAGCCAAGCGCCCGTTGCCCACGTCCCAAGTTGCGCTCGCTCGTGACGCCCTGCCACCTCTTCCCTGTCTCTCTCCCCCGGACAGGTTCTTCGCAGGCACGGTTATGGGCTTTGACCCCGCCACCATGAAGCACCATGTGAGTTGCCCCTCCACCATGCATGTGAACCCACGTGTATGTCATGTCAGCATGCGGGGTAGCACCATGTGAGCAGCAGCATGTGAGCATGTGAGGGCTAGTGCACGGAGCATCTGATGTGATGTGAATTTCTTCTGATGTGACTTAGAGTGGCGTGAATGAACGGCAGCAGGTGAGTCTGCGCATGTTCCAATACCAGCTTACTCCACAATGACTGCATACAGCCAGCCCTCCTCTCCCCTGTCTTCCACCCGCACTCCTCTCCTCCTCTCCCCCGCCTCCCTTCCCCGCTTCCTCCCCCTGGTCCATACACTCACACTCTAAAGGCCTCACCAACCCTCCCTCCCCTCTTCTCCCCTTCCCCTCCCCCTTATCTCCCTCCCCTCTTCCCCCCTTCCTTCCCTCCCTTCCAACCCCCTCGCTCCCTCCCCTCCTCCCTTTCCTCTGTTCGCAGGTGCGGTACGACAATGGGGACGAGGAGCACATGGTGCTGGGCCGCGAGCAGTGGCAGCTGGAGGCGCACCCACCGGGCAGGCAGGCAGAGGCGCGCAGGGGGGAAGCAGCACGGGGAGAGGCACAGGGGAGGGCGCTGGAGAGGGGGCAGGGGGCGATGGGGAGGGGGAAGGAGCAGGGGAGGAGGCAGGAGGGAGAGGCAGGGGGGTGAAGCGGGGTGTGGGGTCGGGCGGAGCTGCTCGTGCTGCTACGGGCAAGGGCAAGAGGCTTGCGGATGGTGCGCCCCTGCTGAGCCTGGCCGATGCGCCGAAGCTGTTTGGTTCGGCGCAGCGGCCAGGTTCGGGGCTGAGCCGGGCGGAGCAGGAGGCGCTGGCACGGCAGCAGGCGCTGGTGGGGCGAAGGGTGGAAGTGTGGTGGCCGCTGGAACAGAGGTGCGTGAAGAGGGGGGCTGGTGGAGGGCAGGTGGGGCAGGGCAGGAGAGGCGCTTGTGTGGGTGGGGAAGGGCAGCAGTGATGTGGGAGTGGGGCAAGGGAGGGGTGGTGTGAGGATGCGGAGGAGTGACGTGGGGATGGGGCAGGGTGCAAGTGGGGGAAAGATTGGGGCATGGGAGCACTGTGGGAAGTGGTGCGGACGGGAAGGGAGTAGTTGACACTGTTGCTTGTCTGGAACCACGCAGGTGGCTCTTCAACCATGCATGATGTCACCCACCCCCTCTCTTCCCATGCTCTCCTCTCATTTTACCCTTGTCTTTGATTGTCTCGTGGGGCACCTCGCCACTGGCATCACTGCTTCCCTTGACCCGCCCAAACCCCCTGCCATTCCACCTGTTGTGGTCTTGTGCCACTGTTCGCTTCCTCTCCTGATAATGCTCCGTCCCTCGTTGCCTGCCCTCCCTAGCAGGTTCTTCAAGGGGGTCATTGGCGGCTACGATGCTTCCACTCTCAAGCACAGGGTGCGTGCCACCTGCCATGTGCCACCCACCTGCCATGTGCCACCCACGTGCCATGTGCCACCCACCTGCCATGTGCCACCCACGTGCCATGTGCCACCCACGTGCCATGTGCCACCCACGTGCCATGTGCCACCCACGTGCCATGTGCCACCCACGTGCCATGTGCCACCCACGTGCCATGTGCCACCCACGTGCCATGTGCCAGTGTTCTCGCAGTGGTCCCAACACGCCCAACAGGCCTGTTCCTACTCCACTTGGTCTTGCCTCCATCTGCTGTTCCCTGTTCGTTTTGCAAGCCACCACTCAGGACCACCCTCGTTGATGCATGCACCACACGCCCTCATCTTCACAAAATCCACTTGCTTTCTTTCTCTCTGTTGCCCTCTGCATTTTTTAACGCCAGGCCAGCACTCGAATATCTCTTCCTCTTCTTCCCTCCATCTACCTCCCTCTCCCTCTCTCCCCCTCCCTTTCTCTCCCTCCCTTTCCCACTCCCTCCCTGATTCTCTCCATCTCCTCTGCCAGGTGGCATATGATGATGGTGACGTGGAGCACGTATCTTTGCGTGCGGAGCGGTGGCGCTTTGAGAGACAAACGGTGCCACCCACTGCCTGCTACTCGTTGCCCTTCTCCTGGCGATCCGAGGTAAAGCATGGGTGATGTGCAGTGGGAGAGGTGTGTGGTGTCTGTGTGGTGTGTGGGTGGTAAGTTTGATGAGTGGTGTGGTGGCTGTGATGTATGTCAGGTTTGTTTCTAATCTCTCGCTCTTCCCTCCCCGTCGCCACCACATTTCCTCTCCCTACCCCCAATGTCATCACTCGGCATGCTGCCTGCATCCCGTGCTCCCCTCTATCGCTTGCCCCCCTTTTTCAGCCCGCTCACCGTGCATGGTGGTACAGCACGACTCTAACACACTAGGACTCACGCTCCCTGCTTGCACTCACGCGCCCCCTCTCCCTTCCGCTCTCCCCCCCCCCACCCTGTTCCCCCTCCCCCCTTCCCCCTCCTCCGTTCCCCATCGCCTGTCTCCCCTCCGGCTGTCCCTTCCCCCCCCCAGCCACTGACCCACCGTGCGGTGCGCGCCTGCAGGGCGAGCAGATCAGGATTTGGGCACCGCAACTCCACAGGTGGGCACAGGGAGGCGCAGGGGGGATCAGGGGAGCGGCGGGTTAGGGGAGGGAAGGTAGCTTGTGGTAGGCTCTTGTGGGGGGGGAATGGAAAGGGGAAGTGCTGCCTGTGTGGGTGTGCCGCATGGGGCACTTGGAGGGGTGGCTGGTGGGGAGAGGGCAAGGGGGAGTGGGTGTGGCGTGGAGAGGATGGGTGAGAGGTTGTTGAGAGTTGGGGTTGGGAAGGAGTGGGGAGGTGAGAGAGAGTGATCGGCAGGCAAAGGAGAGAAGCGTGGGTGAGATGGGTGGTGGGTCACACCACATACAACCATCCATGGTCACACCACATACAACCATCCATGGTCACACCACATACAACCATCCATGGTCACACAGGTTTCACCTCAGCACCTCTTCTCTGCCCGTCTCTTTCCCCCTCCTTCCCATTCCCCCTCTCCCCACCTCTATCATGTGTGCGCTATCACCTGCCCTGCCTCCCACCCCACCCTCCCCTCCCCCCGGTCCTCCCCCTGGTGTGCGGGGGCAGGTTCCGCAACGGCACGGTGGTATCAGTGGCACACAGCAAGTTTACCATCGAGGTGCCCTCCTGCCCCATGCGCCTGCCCCATGCATCCTGCTATCCATGCCACCCCATCCATGCCACGCCATCCGCCCCCCCTCCCGTGCCATGCCATCCCCTTCTGTGCCATGCCATCCCCTCCATTCTTTCCGAATCGTTTTAGTCCAAGGCTCCTCTCTGTGTGCCACTCTGCTGTCATGCCGTCGCCATGCTTTTCACACACCACTGCCATGCTCCTCCTTGTCACTGATGTTTCTCCCGTATCCCCCTCATTCCCCCTCCCCTGTGTGTATCTGCCCCCCCTGGCTGCGCCCCTACCCCCACCTGTTTCACTTGTGGTGCATGGCACATACACACCTCTCCCCCAACCACACTTATTTCTCCCCGACACACATTTCCCCTGCCACACGTCTCCCCCCCCACACACGTCTCTTCCCCTGGCATGGAGCTGGTCAGTTTCTGTACGACGATGGGGAGATCGCAGTGCTGGACCTCTCACAGTGCCGCTGGGAGCTTGTAGACTCCGACTGACACACTGCATCTACCACACACAGCCGTTAGATTGTATGCAAGCGAGAACGCTTACCCGCAGATATGTGCACTCCCATGCACATGCATGGTGGTGGCCCCTTGAAATCATTATTAATTTTTGTGTTCTCCCTAAAATGAGAGCTTATTGTATGGCCTGTATTGCTGCTATGTGTAAGGAATTTTCTCGACATTCCTTAGCGCGCCCTGCAACATCGCGTACAGCAGCAGCCGTTGTTCGCCCGTCACTGCTAACGGGGCTTCGCCAACTTCGCGCGCGCTGTTTCACCAAACCTCGCACTGCTGGCCCGGCCGTGTCGGTCTACGCTTCGGGACTAGCCGGAACCTCACTGCCAGCATAGCACTAGCCAGCTCGCACGCACCGCGTTACCGTTTGCATGTTTCGCGTATAAATGTTCGCTCATGCCTTCGCTCACATTTTGTACTCGGTTGACACCTTAGTGCAATCCTCGCTACCTCGATTCATTGCACCCGTAACACTTGGTATCAGAGCCTCTTTCTTTTCGGACCGCGCATCTCCGCACCCCAGGCGATCAACTTTTGATTTTTCACTCGAACGGACTCACGCACCTTAGCCCCTAGGAGCCGTTGTCCTCGCGTTCTCTCGTAAACGCGTGCAGCCACGACTGCGCCTAGACTAAGCCGAGCCGACGCCCTTCGTCATGGCCGAGCACATCAACGTCACAACTCTCACGCAGGAGCACTTGAATGAACTGCTGCGACAAATCCGCGAAAGCTCTGAAGAAATCGCGGCGCTGACGGCAGAACGCACGTCCCTGCAAAATGACATCGCAAGAGCACAGCAAGCACAATCTCAAGCACCTGGCACTCCGATACAACCCGCACCACAGACATCGCAACATGGAAGTGTGGGGCAACCCGCGAGCGCGGCCAGTGATGTGTCGTCCACCACGATGGAGACGACGACCACGGCACGACACACTCCGAAGGGACGAATGCGGCCAAAAGTCAGCCTCGAGTCATGATTTCCATGCCGGCCGGCGAATCAACACTGCCGTCGCCGATGCCGCTGAAGCCGCAACGTCCACCATGCTTCGACCCGAGTCAACGGGGTGGTCCTACCGTTCAGCCGTGGTTGTTCACGATTAACGTCTTCTTCGACGCCAACTACGTCTCGGAGGATACGGCGAAAATCCGTTACGCCGTGTCGTTGCTGCGAGGACCCCGCCATGGATTGGTGGCGTGTCGTCGCCACGAAGCCGGTGGACTACGCGACTCTACCGCCAACACGGCAAGGACAAACCGGACCCTGGGCGCCGTCGTATTTCGTGGAGGTGCCCCAATATCGCACGTGGGACGCGTGGTACGCATGTCTGCGCGCTCGGTTTGAGCCAATTGCGGCTTCGATCGCGGCGCGACAGAAGCTCCGCACTTGGTGCCAACTCGGTTCTGTCCAGGACTACACGAGCGGGTTTCTGGCACTATGCGAGCAAGTGGGTTACATGCACGAGAGCGAGCGCATCGACCGCTACATCGGCGGCCTGAAGCACGACATCGCTCAGGAAATCCAGCTTCGCGGCGTCACCGACGACTTTCAAGAAATTCTTGCTATGGCGGAGAAACTTGACTTCTTCCACCGACCGAGACCGGGGTCCTACGGAAGCAGCAACTGGGGACATCGGTCTCGTGGGACGAACGAGGGCGCTACGATACGTGCCGTCGCCGCGAATGCCACTGCCGCACCGTTCAAAGGGCACTGCTTCGCGTGCAATCGGCCAGGACACCGTAACAGCGAATGCCCGGAAAATGTTAAGGGAAAGGGGGAAGCTGAGCAGCAGAAACAGACCAAGCATCAGGGAAACGCTAGGAGTCAGTAGCAGACGGGCCCTCTACTGACAGGTCACGCCGCTCGCCCGACCCAACCGACCCTCACCGAGTGATTGTGCCGGTTCACGCAATCGACCGCACCCGGCCGAATAAGGAGGGTACTACGGTAGACAGCCCCATACTGCTTAGTGGGAAAATCGGGACCAACTTAGTTAAAATCTTCGTAGACGGGGTGAGCCAGCCACAGCCTTATCAACACTGCCATAGCACGGAAACTGAGACTTGCCACTGGACAGATGCTTACCTGAGATCGACGCAAGACTGGTCGACAGCACGCCACTGGCGATACGGGAACGTGTGGACCGGGTTCGGATTTGATGTGGGGGTAAATTCACGTTTAGCCAGGAAATGCTCGCAACAACCCTCGACGGAACCGACATTTTACTCGGGCGTGATTGGCTGCGACGACACAATCCGCGAATCGACTAGACGACGGGTGACTGCACCGTGCGAGTGAACGGTAACAACATCGCTTTACCTCGTTGGGGCTCGCCTGAGTCTTCGTCGGTGCGTGTCAACGCGATCACGATGAAACGCGCCGTAGCGGCAGGAGCTGACGTGTACGCGGTTGACATTCGGGAAGCCGAGGCAGCAGACAAAGGGGGGGATTTACAGAAACTGCTAGCCGATGTACCGGATGATCTGGCAGCACTATTGAAGCAGTACAGTGATATATTCCCGGACGATCTGCCAACGGGGACTGCCACCTCAGCGACCGCATGACCACAGGATAGAACTAGAACCGGGGGCACAGCCGACAGTACAGGCGACAATTCCGACTGACCCAACCTGAACTGAGAAAGCGGCTGGATTACCTGCTCGAAAAGGAGTTCATTCGCCCAAGTTCGTCACCCTTCGCAGCACCGATACTGTTCACCGCCGAAGAAGGACGAGGGTTTTCGCATATGCATAGACTACAGGGCACCGAACAGGGTTACCATTAAATCCCGTTACCCCATTCCGCGAGCCGACGAACTGATCGACCAACTGCGCACAGCCCGGTTTCCTCGAAAATCGACCTTAGGGGAGGTTACCACCAGATTCGCGTCAACCCACCCGACTGCCCCAAGACTGCCTTCCGAACACGCTACGGATCGTTCGAGTACACCGTCATGCCCTTCGGACTGACCAACGCCCCCCGCCACTTTCAAATGACCATCAACGAAGCCTTCCGCCCGCTTTTAGATAAGTGCGTCATCGTGTACCTTGATGACATACTGATTTACAGCCCCGACAGAGCACACAACTTACAGGACATCGAAGCAGTTTTTAAGATACTGAGTGAGAACCGCCTACTGACCAAAGCGTCTAAGTGTGAGTTTTTACAAGACCGGCTGGAGTTTTTGGGACACATTATTTCAGCTGCAGGAGTGGAAATAGACCCGAAGAAGATCGCGACGATTCAAGCATGGCACGCGCCGACCAACTTGACTGAGTTGCAGAGTTTTCTGGGGTTCGTCAACTACGTGCGACGGTTCGTCCCCGACATGGCGCAGTTGACCGCCCCGTTGACCGACCTGCTGAGGAAGGGGGTTGAGTACACGTGGGGGGAGAAAGAGCAAGCTACCATCTCGGCCCTCAAAAATATTTTGTGCTCGCCGCCCGTTGCTTCACATTGCAGATCCGCACCGTCCGTTCGAACTCGTCACCGACGCTAGTGACATCGCTGTGGGAGCAGTACTGTTGCAGGACTTCGGGAACGACCTCCAGCCAATTCTCGTATGAGTCCCGCAAGCTTCACCCGCCCGAACGCAACTACACGATACACGACCGCGAGATGCTGGCGATCGTGCACACGTTCAAGGTGTGGCGATGTTACCTCACGGGAGCAGACGTGACAATACGGACAGACCACCGATCACTACAGTATCTTCGCGTCCAACCGAATCTCAACCCACGACAGATCCGCTGGTTGGACTATCTGGAGTCCAACTTCCACTACACGGTCACGTACAAAAAAGGCGCATCCAACATCGCCGAC